TTTGGGTTGCCCTCAAACCTAGCAACTGGACAAGGAAGTTATGAAAGGAGAGATATTGATTTATTATAAGATTAATAAATTAATATAAATGATTTATTAATATGTTAAAAGATTAATATATTAATTAGAAATCATAAGGTTTAATTAATAGTTAGCCAGAAATTAATTAGATTTAATTTTGGGGTTAATTGTATTAATTATAAAGTGCAGGGACTAGTTTGCAATTATCAAATAGTTGAGTGGAAGGCTCCAGAACCTCCTTGGAAGGAGGTGGACGAAATCTATAGGGGAAACCCTAAGGATTTCGTCTAAGGGGCTTGGATAAGGCCTTTGGATTAGCTTAGGCCCCAAGCAAAGGAGTATTAGGGTTTTCCCTAAACCCTAGATCCCTTAGCTATATAAGGAGCCTCCCAACTCCTAAATTCGGCCACTCCTTCCTTTGTGAAACCCTAGGGACGATTTTGCATACTCTACTCTCTCTCCTTCAAGTTTCCTTCTTGCTAGCTTTTGGGTGTGACTCCATTAGAGGCATTACATTTGTGGTGCTAGGCTTCCATGAAGATCAAGTTCAAGAGGATTAACAATTGTTTGCTATAACAATTGTAAGGTATGTAATTCTAAAACCCTAGTTTGTTAATTTCGAAAATAGCCTCTCTCCTCTAGGGTTCTTGTTTTGCAATTCAAAGTTATATGTTCAATAGTTAAAACATAGATCCAAAGTAGGTTGCATGTGAACTTAGGAATTGTTTTCTAGTTTATTTGTTTCACCTAAAACCCATCAGCTACGTCCACCTCAACCTCTGGATTAAACTCCCCGACAATCACCAGCTCTTTCGCAACTCTTCTTCCCTGCTCCACCCCTGCCGCCACACAAGCCGCTCGCACATGAACCAAGCCTTGAATAAATTGAGGGCTCTCGATCACCCTGTCCACCATCCGGCTGAGCCCCTCGTGTAACACCCTTAAATTTACAATCCGGAAATTTCATTTTTAAGTTTAACAATCATAAAACAACCATTTCATTTTTCCCAAAAACCATGAAAACATAAAATAATTTAGTTGTGCAATTCATGATACATATCAAATCATCATCAGAGTCATAATCCCAAAATCACTAGTGCGGAAAAGCTATGGTGTGATGTGATAAGATCAAGCCGGCCCTTTCCCCTTCGAGCTAGAAGTACCTGAAACAAAAACTGAAAACCGTAAGCACAAAGCTTAGTGAGTTCCCCCATTATACCACACACCATACAATAACATATTGTCAGGCATATATGGGTTCCCGACCTATCCTGCTCAACATACCTGGGTGTTGAACCTACCCATGTCAGACATACCGGGGTGTCCGACCTACCCCTGCCAGTCATACCTGGGTGCCCGACCTACCCTCTGGTTTATTTCAACCGGTTACGGGGACTATTTCACCCCTACCACTACCACATAATAACATACATAATCATACTACCAGACATATATGGGTGCCCGACCTACCCCTCTAGTCTTATTGACTTGGATACGGGGTCTATTTCACCCCTACCTCTATCACATAATACTATAGCATACTAGCACATAAATCATATCAGATAGTGGCATACCAGATAATTATCAAAAAGACAATCATCTAACAACAAACTCCTACCAGTGGGCCGGCCTTGGTGCCTTAGACCCACTGCTACCAGGAAGGTAACTCACCTCGCAAGGCTGAATGCAGAATCTCACGACAAGAAATTTCTAACAGCTGCTCCGACGACTCCCCGAGCTATCATTACCACAATAATACTTAGTCAATAACTAGTAATCCTTTTAGGGTAAAATGACCATTTTACCCCTGCTCTAATTTGGCTAATGCTTAAGGCCCAAAACCATAACATGAAATGCCTAAATCTAAATAGTATTCCCAAGCCCACTAGTGGCCCACCAATGGTCAAATTTTCCAAATTGGGCCCAACTCCTGAAATGGGCCTTAACTGAAACCTAACATACTCTTAGCCCAAAATAGATAATTTCTAATGGCCCATTACGGCCCAATACCATAATTCTCAGTTCTTGGCCCAGAGGCCTTATTCCATAGTGGGCCATGAGGCCCAACAATTTAGGCCCAAACTTCTAAGGCCCAAAAGCCCACATTTGACACTCTGCATGTGTACGCGTGGCGTACCTGGAACGTACGCCCAGCGTACGTTGGCCTTGACAAGAAGCGGGAAGTTGACCCAGTACGCGTAGCGTACCAGAGTGTACGCCCAACGTACTGGCCAGCTTCCTAAGGAATCCTTTTGTGACTTAATCCATTAAGTCCTAACGTCCAAAACATAGATCCAGGTCCTTTATGACGTCCTAATCCATAAAGTTACAAAAATTTATGTCTTTGCATGTATAAATGGGGGTTAAAACATGATTTAAGTGCTTAAGCAAACTTTATGACCATCAAACACTTGCATAGTTGTGGCTTAACCATCAAGGTCTGATTTTTATGACTCTAAATGCTTCCAAGAGCTCAAAAGGATAGCTCTTATGGTTTGGAACTACCAAGACTCAAGAAACCTCAACAATGGAGTCCAAAAGTGACATAAAAACACCCCAAAACCAAATCTAAACATGCATTAGCCAAGTTTGAAGCTTGATACCTCAAATGAGTCAGAAATGGTGCTAATCCCCTAGATCTACAAGCTCTCTTCAAGTCCTTGCTCCTTCTTCAAACTTCTTTCTCTTCAAGTCCCTACATCGACGGTTTCGTATATACGAGGACATCAACTTTTGTTTAGAGTGTTTTAGCTAACAATCAACCGATCTACGTTTCACTTTTCATGACACACACTGTTGTGTCGGATTGAACGTGAAACTTAGAAAAATAAATAACTTCCTCATACGAAGTCAGATTTAGGCATTCTTTATAAGCACGGGCTCGTGATCATGGTCTCTACGACTTTCTTTTAGATTATTTATTCTAAAAAAATCTTTTAATTATTATTGTTTATTTAGCCCTATGTATTAAGTTTTCACTCACAAATATTATATACACATAATATCATATATGAATTACTTTTAAGCAATCATACACATGATTGAATAAATCTTTCATTTATTCGCAAGAAGTTTACAATTGTTGACCGACACAAATACATATTTTATAATCAATGTCTAGCGAGAAATGTGAGCGTTACAATATATATATATATATATATATATATATATATATATATATATATATATATATATATATATATATATATATATATCATTAAGTTCCCCAAGTCTGAAGTAGGAGCGAGTTGATGTTCGGTCCTGTTTCGGACTTATACTAGCACACATATGAAACTGAACGTCTTCATTGAACTGGGTTGGGAAAAGTGACATCATGATGTCTTTTTTCAAGCATACGTGAACGAGATTAGAGTTGTGATATATATTGTCCATGTTGTAATTTATTCGACATGATTTTGTTCGATCGTAAAGTTTAGATACATGAAAGGTGTCGTATATAACTTGTGTGTCAAACAAACTAACGCTAATCGAATCTCTTTAAAAAGGAGAATTTTCCAATAAGTCCCCCAAGTCTAAAGTAGGAGCGAGTCGATGTCCGGTCCACCTTCAAATTGATGCTATTATAACGCGAGTTAGGATTTTGGTTAGTTACGGTGCTAACCATGATTTTCGATTAATTATCGACAAGTTATAAACTTGTTTGTTTTTATTGATATATGGGCTCATTTAGTGTTTACACGTATCTGCTTTAGGACGGACCTTGTTTCGATAAGTATCATTTACTGTCAATTCGATAAGTGTTGTTTCGAATATTACAAAGAAATAAATTGATGTTGATTTACACACAACATCAACATTCAATTTCTATGAATTTTACAAAGCACGATGTTCGTTTATACATGTATCATTCGTCAATATTCGTCGTGTGTTATATCGATAGATTTCATTTCAATAATTTTTTGACTGGTTGTGGTACTAGTTGGGATCCTTGGTAGGTTACTACGCCGAACCATGGTGGATATACTATGAAGAACCATGGTGTAAGAACCATGGTGGCTTTACTATGTCAAACTGTGGTGTAAGAACCATGATGACTTTACTATGTCGGACCGTGGTGTAAGAACCATGATGGCTTTACCATGTCGGACCGTGGTGTAAGAACCATTGTGGCTTTACTATGCCAGACCATGGTGTAAGAACCATGGTGGCTTTATTATGTCAGACCATGGTGGAAGAATCATGGTGGCTTTATTATATCGAACCATGGTGTAAGAACCATGATGGCTTTATTAGGGATTTTTTTTTATTGATTAATTGTAAGCGACTTCAGCATGTTTGGACCTAAATTTACAAGTGACAAGCAAACCATATGATAATGTGCCCCCTAGCACGGGATAGGAGTTGCGCTCAGCCGCACCAAAGGTGCCTCAAGGCAGGCCGCTAGACCAAGCTACTCCCAGCGCAACCTCTCTGACGAAGTCACATGCCCGCAGACGTCCCTCCAAAGCTGGACGCCCGCATGGAAGACCCATCCCTCAATGGGCGCCTTCCACTTCGCGACAAACCCAACAACTCCAAGCGACAAGGAGTATGCTCAGAGCATTACTACCTAAACCAATCGCTAGCTCTAGCACAACGAGGAACATGATTAACCGATCAAGGCGTCGGATCCTGTCGGACCTGACGACCTTGTCCCATGTACGGACTGGTAGGAGGCCTCATTATATAAGTCATCCTCCGCCACCTTGAAGGGTAAGTCAATATCTCTCAGCTCTAACAACACATTCTCAGTTCCGTCACTGACTTGATCGTCAGAGTGTTTTCCCGGGAGCTCCTCCCGGAGAACGGCTGACGACTTTCCCCTGTTGTGACCCCGCAAGTCTTCCTGGAGTAATCAGAGCCTCCACAGAGTGATCAGAGCCACCGTTTTAGATAGCCGGAGGACCAGGTCGCATCATTTGGCACCATCCGGTATGTGACGAACGATTACCAAAAACCACACATCATCACCCTCGAAGATGACAACTGAAAACACCGGCGAAGCTAACGAAACGCCGAGAAGCCCAATCAGATCCATGATGCCGTTAGAACCATACATCACTCCCATTACCACATCACACCAGTCAACAACCGCCGTGACTAATGTGCCACAATTTAGTGGCCCAACGACGCCCAGCATACCGATGAGTGAACTTTGGAGGCAAACAATGGAAGAGCCGATACCCTTTGCCACTACGCCGCCACAAAATTTTCCATTAAGCAACCATCAAGCGACGTCGATTCTTAGCAGCATGACACCGCCGATAGTACAAACCACCGATGGTACATTCGCCTTCGCATAAACACCACCTCTGCTGGTAAACTAAACCGACGACGAACAAACCACCACACTCCATGCAATCTCGTTCATAGCAACTACACTACTCTCTACTCCATTACAGTAACTTCCACCATTCACAACAAATCAATTGCTCTCGACAAACCAGCTGCTCACGACAAACCAGTTGTTAACAATGGGCAGCCATTTGACATAAATCCGCCACTTCCCTTCCAATTCCAACCTCAAAGCTTATATGGCCCAACTCCAACACATCTCTCAGCGTACAACAACATGTTGGTGCAACCATACCTCTCCACCCAACAGTTTCACCCAATCACATCCAAGGTTGTAGAACTTGCTACTCGGTACTTGCTCGGCCGACTGCCGAGTAGCGAGTACTCGAGGAGTATTCGGATTCGGTAATTCATGTAGAAATATTTTTAGGAAAATTATATATGTCAAAATCATAAGTTAAAATCATAATTTGATTGAAATATATAACAAAATTAGATACATGTGAATACATAAAAACTGAAATACACACAATTGTCTCACTTCGTGAATAATTACTAAAAATTTAAGATATATATGTAGTAATAATCACATGTGTGTGTTAAATAATAAATCATTAAGTGTATTATACATATTAAGCTTGAAATTCTTGATTTTTTTTTCTCTTTTTAAGACAGTTTTGACCCTTTAACCAAGTTGGCCGAGTTTGACTTTGTTGACCGAGTAGCCAGAGTAAGACTGAGTAGACCCGAGTTAGAGAGATGTTGACCGAGGTTGACCGATTTTTGACCGAGTTTGACTTAATCCGAGTTTTTTTACGAGTTTACATAACTCTCCTTGGTGGAGGGTCGATTCCGAGTACTCGGCCGAGTAGGCCGAGTTTTACAACACTGATCACATCCTTCAAATCCTAAACCAAGATTGATTGTCTAGAAGTGTGAAATCCCCTTTCACAAAAGAGATCTTAGATTACGAAATACCAAACACTGCAAAGTTACCACACCTCAAAACCTACAATAGGACTACAGACCCAGATAGCCTATCGATACGTACGAGTGGACTATGACCTCGCTGAAGTTGGACGAGCGATTCTGGTGCACGTATTTCCCAACAACGTTAGATGGAAACGCATGAATGTGGTTTAAGACGCTTCGCCTAGGAATCATATACAACTTTGTCCAGCTAAAGTATCTCTTCTTAACGAACTTCATGCAGCTACGGAAGTACAAGGGAGACTCGCACTCCATTATCGGTTGCAAAAAAAAGAGGGGAGACGGTGAGGGAATACTTCGCGAGATTCACCAACGCCACCTTGGACGTTCCAGGGCACGCTGAAGGGCTAATAGCGAGAGCTTTCGCATGGGGCCTACTTCCCGGACCCCTGTCTCAGAAGCTCATGGGAAAAAAACCCCAAACACGAGCCGTGTTGAAAGAGAAGGTAGAACGCTACCTAAGGCGGGAGGAAGGAGAGGGAACAAAGCAAGCATACCTCAAAGCCATGACCGCCCCAACCACAAAACAACATCACCAACCTACCTACCACAAAGAGAGCCATGGAGGAAGCAGACACTTCAGATGGGGAGGCGCCCATAAGGGCGCTTCAGGCCATTCCCAAGAGACGAAAGAAGAGGACGACGACCAGACATCTATGTTGTCGCCGATAGACAGGAAGGGAAGGGGGCCAAAGGACGCTACTGCGAATACCATAAAAGCAAGACTCATGATACTACCCACTACTCAGTGCTAAAACAGGAAATGGAGGAGAAACAGTTAAAAGGGAACTTAATAGAGATCACATGGAGCCTCCGTGCCAAATTCGACGCCAAGAATGCCAAAGACGGCGTGAAAGTGAATGACCGTCCCCAGGAAATCCTAACTATACTGGAAAAGAGAGGAAGGCCAGGGGACGACATTGGAATAGATAACATCACAAGATCCATACAAGGCTAACTTTCTCGATGACAGATCCACACCCCGCAGGATGGCGGGGGGACAACCTATTGATAATACAAGGGTCCATAAGAGATACCATCATCCATCGTGTGTATGTGGACACAAGCCTTAATCCCACAACAAGATAGCTGACAGGAAGGAGGGAGGAGGGCCTTAAGCCCGCAACAAGACAAATGGAAGGAGGGCCTTAAGCCCGCAACAGGATAGCTGATGGGATTTACAAGGCACAACCTGTGGCCCCTAGGTACGATCCACTTACCATTCACACTAACCAACCATGACAAGACGAGGCAGAAGACGGTTCTTATTGACTTCGTCGTCATACGACACCCAACATACCACAATATTATACTGGGACGAACAGCTCTATTCAGGTTCGGAGCAATACCGTCCACCATACACGGAGTAGTGAAATTTGGCACGACAGAAGGGTCGGGAATAATCCTAGCCACTCCACCAAAAGAATTACGGTGCTACAAGATCATGCCAGCCGAAGGAAATCATGTAAGAGACCAAAAATCTACGATCAGAGTTTCCCAATGGAAGGGTGATCATCAATGCAGAACACTCGGACCAACCAGTCAGCATATGAGTCAACCTTCCTCCAGAAATATGACAGGAGTTGGTTGACCTATTGAAGAAATACAAACATGTTTTTTGCATGGACACTCGCAAACATGGCGTGGGTAGACAGAGAGGTCATAGAACACAAGCTCATGATAAAGCCAGGGACTAAGGAGGTGAAACAGAAGAAGCGTGTCCAAGGAGGGGACATGAACAAGGCGATCAACTTTGAAGTAGCCAAGCTGACCAATACATGGATACTCCACAAAGCAATCTTTCCAACTTGGATCGAAAACCCAGTCATGGTCAAAAAGCACGATGGCATGTGGCGTATGTGTTTCGACTACTCCGATCTAAACAAGTCTTTCCCCAAAGACTGTTATCCCCAACCAAAAATCGACCAAAAGGTGGTGTCCTTGCAAGGGTTCAAACTGAAATGATTTCTAGATGCATACAAGGGGTACCACCAAATCTTGATGAGCAAGGAGGACGAAGAGAAGACCGCCTTTTACACAGACCATGGTGCATTTTGCTACCATAAAATGTCGTTCAGCCTAAAGAACGCAGGAGCAACCTATCAACGACTTCTCAACTCGCTCTTCGCAAAATAGATTGGAAGGAAGATCGAAGTATATGTGGATGACATGGTCATAGAAATCCCGTACGAAGGAAAATTGTTAGAAGAAATGGAAGAGACACTCAGGACCCAAGAGAAGGTCAGAATGAAATTGAACCCGGGGAAGTGCACCTTTGCAGTAGAGGAATGACAATTTCTAGGTTACTACGTCACTCGGAAAGGGATCCAACCAAGCCCTATCATGGTGGACGAACTGATAAAGGTGTCATCCCCACACACCTTAAGAGAATCCCAAGGTTTAAATGGCAAGCTGACCGCCCTAAGTCGGTTCATCTCTAAATCAGCGGAAAAAGCCATGCCACTCTTCTAAACGCTCAAAGGGTGCATCAAGAAAAGCAATTTCCAATGGACACCAATAGCAGAGGCAGCGCTCCAGCAATTAAAAGAAGCTTGACACAAGCTTCCAACACTGGCTAGTTCTGTCCCAGGAGAAACGTTGCAAATATACTTGTCAGCTTCGAACGAAGCAATCTCATCTGTGCTGGTGGTAGAGAGGGAAGGAAGACAATCTAAAGTTTACTTCGTCAGCCGGGCCTTACAAAGCCCAGAGGTTAACTACCCCATCCTGGAGAAGCTCAAGTTAGTCCTCATCTATTCAATGCGACGGGTGAGACGATACTTCTAGGCACACAAAGTAGAGGTATTAACCAGCTGCCCGATCAAGCAGGTGCTTCTTAAGAAATAGACGTCAGAGCATTTGGAGAAATGGGAAATTGAATTGGGAAAACACGATATCAGGTACCGCCCACACACAAGTATTAAAGGTCAGGCGCTAGCAGATTTACTACTCAAGGTACCAGATGAAACAAAGCCACTCGTCCAGGGAGAAGACCAGAAGGACACACCCGGGCAAGTCGATAGCCAAGGTTGGACCTTATACACATATATAGTGTCTAGCAAAAGGGATCGAGAGTGGGTGTTATCCTAAAAAGCCCAGATGGAGAAGAAGAAGTTACCTACACACTTCGCTTTGACTTTCACACCTCTAACAATGAGGATGAGTATGAAACCCTGCTAGCCGGCCTGCGGCTAGCAAGGAAGATAGGAGTAGACAAGATAACAACCCTAACAGATTCAAGGCTAGCAGCAAACCAAATCAGCGGAGAATTTGAAACAAGAGATAAGCGAATCGAGAAATATATGAGAGCTGTCTAGAGGCTAGTGAAGCCGTTTAAGAACTTCACCATCAAGCAAATACCACGAAGTGAGAATAAAATGGTGGACGCTCTCAGTAAACTCGCGTCAACATGTTTCGGCCACCTTTCTAAAGAAGTACTAGTCGAAGTGCTCAAAGAAAGAAGCATAGAGGAACACCATATACATACCCTGTCGCCGGTACAACCCAACTGAATGACACAAATTGTCGATTAATTACAACATGGCATATTGTCGGATAATCACGAAGAAACCAAGAAAATAAGGATAAAAGCTCCACAATATATGATTGTCGGGGGAATGCTGTACCGAAAAGGATTCATGACCCCATGGCTAAGATGTATGGATGAGGCCAGCGGTAAGAAGGCGCTCCACGAAACGCACGTCGGGCTAGCCGGCACACACGAGGGAGAAAGGGCTCTAACAGGAAAGATACTAAGGATGAGGATTTATTGGACCGACTACCACCGAGATGCAACAACATTGACAGGAACATGCGTGGAATGTCAAACCTACTCACCAGTACATTGAGCTCCCCCGACACCGCTAACAAGAATTTCCATCCTGTGGCCCTTTTACCAGTGGGGAATCGACATTGTTGGACCGTTCCCAAAGACCCCTTGAAGGGTAAAGTTCCTGTTGGTCGCAGTGGACTACTTCACCAAGTGGATCAAAGCCGAGCCATTAGCGTGCATAGCAGG